ATGGTGCATTGAACATGAGGGGCCAATGAGGACATCGCAGTTTAATTAATGCAATTTGTGCTTCTTAGAAATTTGCTGTCAGAAAGGCAACGAGAGATGCACTTCGTTTTTGTAAATTGATCTTTTACTTTGGAAATCTTATCTTATAAGCGCATATAAATTTTGCTCTTTTGTCCATTTCGATCATTCTATTTTTTAATGCCGGATTCCAACACCAGAAATGAGAAGAGTGGAACTAAATTGAAGCCGCACCATTTGAGAAATTGGGGCATTCATGGGAATTTCTGCTGAGGCTTTTCTTTGTAGCTCGTCGTCATTCAACATTTGACGTGCATTAACCTCATCAACCGATTTCCTTGCGTAATGAGATAACAGAATTAGTGACGTAACGCGCTTCGAAAGTTTGTTTTTTGAACTGTACGATAGAAAACAACCTAGAGTTCCCGAATTACTCGGGGATATCTCACGCCAATGTAACTCACGTACAAGTGTCCGTTGCTGAGGACGTTGTTTATATTTTAAACAGTCTAATGTGGAATGTAAAAAATTATCTTAAGGTGAGTTTACAATATGTGATTAAACATTTAGGAAACCGAAATGAGGTCTCTCATAAACATGGAAAGACTTCTGACAAATGCGTTCATGGTTTCGCTGTTAATTACAATGTCGACAGTGTTGGGATGTGGAGTGATGCCTGCGGGTCAAGGTAGTGAACAGAGAATTGTTTTCATATAAGAATATCTTCAGTCTTATTTGTTGGTGATTGGACTCTATTGAGAACGAATGTACTAAAACATCATGAGCACTCAAGAGCTGTCTCAATCCGAGCTTTTCAAGGAAAGGACTTCGAATCGTACACATAAGAAGTTAGACGCGCCCATGAAATGTTTTGGTGTAATGGTTTAGCTTCCTAAAATTACTTAAGAGGCTTCGTTACAGCGAGCACCAGGACGTTCACTGTCACTGGTCTCAGAACTCTACCTGTCGCCATGGTTTACGTGGACAAATTCGATGCTAGGTTTTTCAAGCATTGCGACTAGTAGGGAGGGAGCTGCGGGATTCGTATCACGTCTTGTGATGCAAACAGTGAGTTTAAGAGTCAAAGATTTGAGTCCTTGCTCTCGCAACTTATGGAAAACATTTGAAATGAGGGCCAGTCTCCTGACAAATCGCCGTCCCTCTTGGATGTGATAGCGCTTAAATAGTTTCATATTATTCTGTTTGAAACATTCCAAACAAATTCTCCAGTGTAGTGGAAAAACTGTGTTTTTCAGATCATTGATGTTCTCGAAAACCAAGGTCGCAGTGCACTCTTACCTGATGCGGTGATTTCGGCCATATTAAATCAACTTACCGTAAGAATCAATTACGAGCCGTTGCAGTGTCAGACGATTCTCATGGGGATAGATGATGTGACTGTTAATCGTGGGTTTATTTTATAAGATATTCATTCAGAATATAACAAGCAGTCAAGAAAGATGCAAAGCTGTGCTTATTGTAGAGTGATAAGCCTTCCAGAAAAGCACTAGAAAATCACTACTGCCCTCAAATTTCAGGAAAACCAGTATTATAGCATCAAAGTTGGAATCTTTGAAAACGATTACTTCTCTGAACAAGTTTATCTTTTCACATACATCTTTCAGAAAAGAAAACAGAATTGTATTCACTGTGCCAGGTGATTTGAAGAGATTTGAAAATGAAAGAAAATTACTTCTCAAGACTGTATTGACCTTCCCGATATTTCTACTGCAATCTAAGTGTGTGTCTCTCCCAAACTAAAAGTTCTTTGCAGTCATGGTCAATGTAAAGCAGAACTGCATCATCATTGGCGACACGGTGACGGGTATTTGCAATGTAATGGAAGCGGGAATGAGGGGGTGTACGTTAAGGAACAAAGTGGAAAGCAATTCCCTCCAATCACACATCAATCTCAGGAACTCTCACGGTTTGAACAGCTCTCTTTTTCAATCATGCTCGTTTTGTAAAAAAAAAATCTTTCTAGACCACAAACATTATCATGGCCAATTGGTCGAAAGCGATGTGGCAGAATGTAGTGAACGGAGCGATTCGCATGTTGGCATCGCGTCCATTTGATGCGCACTTCTTCTCAGCAATTGCTACTGTCGAAGGAAGCTGAAATCAAACATTGACGTGTTTGAGACAAGCGTATATATTCAAATGGTACTTATTGCGGAATTTCAAAGAGAAAAAACTGATACATCAAATGAATGATGACTAGCTAAAGTACTGCAATGAATTATATTGAAATCACAGTGGTGCAATAATTCACATCGAAGTGTGCAATGTAATGAATTTCAATTCAGTGCTTCTCCAGATAGCAACCAAAATTTCACAGATAAAAATTTGTAGGAACCAAACGTTTTGCACACCACTCCATTGGGTATATTGCAATGAACTTGCTAGGGCAGGATCACAAGAATAAAAAAGAGTAATAAAGTAGCAATAACAATAAGCAGCGTACCAATACAAATATAATGTAAGCGAAATAAAATAGGTAATAATAAAATAACAGCGATCCAATAGTAGAATACACATTCGAATAAAATATGCAACAAAGCGAACAATAATAATTTGCGGTGCTTTGTGATATTGGGTAAGCACTTTTGAAGAGAGGTCTTCCGCTCAGCAAAGACTTGCTATAAACCACTGATCATTCGGAAACCTAAATCTCAAAGATTCGAAAAATTTTTCTGGAACGACCATCCCATAACATTGTAGCACTAAAAAATAATATTATAAGTCACAAGCATTTTTGCGTTTATATTTCGCTGGATAAAACTATTGCTGAAAATTTTCACCAACATTGAATAGCATAGATTACTTAGATTTCAAAACAAGTTTGTTTCTCAAGAGGCGAATTAACAGTGCTGTAGCGGGAACTAATAATTTAATTTCACAGTGTTGTGCATTACGACACGGAATGTTGTTATTCGTGCCTGATAATTATTTTTAGCCATACATGTCGTCTGTCATTGGGCACTTGTACAGTGCAATACACGTGTTCCGGCCTGTCCAGCCTCGTCAATTTTCACGGTGCCTTACAGTTCAGTCAGTTCCGTGAAGAGATTTCCCGTGCTCAAATAAACCAACAATGTACGTTTCAAACGCGCCATTGAGTGAAATTATCATTTGCTTTCAGACATATTGAAATTTGAGCGTAGTCCCAAGAAACACTCGAAGCCGAATGGTGTGATGCTCCCACGATTGCCAGTCCAAGAGCAATCGAATGTACAACACTGCCCATTCAGTGATACTTTCACTTAATAACACATGTGAAAACGTACGGCGCTGTTTTCTGTTAGCAGGGGATGTCTCTCTGCGGAACTAACTGAACCTTAGAGCACCGTGCAACTGACGAGGCTGTAAGGCCAAAACACGTCTATTGCACTGTATAGATGCCTATAACAGACAACATCACGGCTCAGAAATAACTATCAGGCTTGTTGAAATGTGGGCATGGTCTAAAAAGCAGTAGAAACTACAGGTATTTGTGAACTATCGGCTCGGATCAATCGTTACTGTGAGAAGAACCAAGAAGTTAGGACAACAGGCCGAATAGGACTATTTCCCATCTCGTGTCAACTTGTATGGAATTCTTGGTTGCTCATATTACGCTTCAGTGAACTTCGTTTGATTCTCATTAGTGTGAAGACCAATCGAGTAGTTTTCAAATCAGGAAAGGCATTCTTTTCCACTCAGGGAGTCACAAGAGGTACCTCTCAGGAAATTTTTTGGAAATACGTCATAAAATACAGAGTACAGACAAGATGGTTATAGATATAAACGAAGCAAAAAATTTTTCACATGTAATCCAGCTAAGGATACATATTTCACTCCAGCGAAATTGCAAGTAATGTGTACGAAGAGTTGGGCATTGACCAAGTGTGTGTTCAACGACGTGATTTTTCCTATCTTATGTTTTGAAGTGGGTTCAGTTCTTATTTTGGCAATCCTTTGCTCGGTCAAGCAGAATTCTTTTTATTCAAACGCTTTTAGCTGTGTTACTAAGTTAGATATGATTGATCATGTTAAGTGATACATTAAATCTCGATATAGGGCGAAACTCAAACCCGCATTTCATTCTTTTCGAGGGCGCGTGCTGAACATTTTGCACCACCAAAGCTTGTTTTGCCACCGCTCTTTCTACGCTGAAAAGACGAGCAACTCTTACGAAAGCCTTGAAACTCAAACTAAACCTGATAACGCGCCCGAATCTCCAAGAGTCACCGTGTTAGAAATTGCTGTTTTATAGAGTAGAAAGACTGATGGCAAAACGGGGGTCGGTAGTGCTGCTGGTTAATTCGCAAGGGGTGAAATGCCGGCTTGAATCCCGCTCGACGTCAAAGTTTCACATCACTCAAACATGATCGGGTAATATTTTGCTTGTGCTCCAGAAATAAGCTTGAATCTCTATTGTTGATTAATTCATTATCAAGAAGTTGATGAAAATAGATTTTTTTCTGCGGAAATTCCGACTGCTAAGTTTTCTTTATAGCCGATGATTCGAGTCGATCGTCTGCACTCTCGTGCTGGTTGCGGGTCTTCGTTTTCGCTGTCGTTCGGATTTATCGAATCTCTTTTAGGATAGAAAGCTTGTTGTGTGCGACCTGAGGACGAACCATCATCGTGCTCGTGATGAACCTCATCACTATCGCTGGAACTGTAACAAACACGAAAACAAATATGAAATATATGCTCTTTTCTAAGTGTTGAGCTTTATGAGAGAGCAGCATGTGGAAATCATGCTTTTCCTCGTAGACGAGCAGTGTTCAGTGGTTGTTATGCCCTATTTTGGTGACGATCGGCAGCTGGTGCTGTCACATGCATCACCTATCGCCTTATTGTTCGTTGATTGACTCGGCGAGCATTCCAGTTTTCCATATAGCACGTAAGAGTGGTCCCAGTGGTTTCTTGCTGTGAAATTCGTAAAGTATCATATCTTTGTACGTCCGCTACTGTAAAGTGACATGCGAACATTGGACCTCATACGGGACTTGAACCAGCACTTCACCCTTTCCGGGGGCGCGTGCTTAACCATTGCACTACTGACGCTCGACGGTTAGGCCTAGTGAGCACTTATTGGTATTGAACCTTAACACTAACTGATACTAAGTACATGTAATCAATCAGAACTCTATATTTACCCGCTCTTTTGGCGTTGTTTGATGTTATGAGTATAGGCATGATGTATTTGTATATCTATAACATTATGCAACTGCTGAAGAGCGTTCAAACGAAGATAAAATAAAATTGGCAGTCATGACTAAATGAATAATGAGTCTAAAAGCCATTCAGCTGATCATCATTTCCCTCTGATGTCACTGGCCCCTTGTCATTTTTGCGTCCTGTGGTTATGAAGTGTGGACGGACCTTCGCTTTATACATCGTTGTGCATTCCACCATCTCACTCCAATCTGTATTAAAAAATTGTTGACTATCAGGAATCTGCTCTATTCCTCTTTTAATTCCAAATATAAATTCAAACTTTAAATCATAGTTAAATTCGCTTGCCGAAATAACCTATGAATATGGCGGCTGAAGTATGCCAATATATGGCTGACAAATATCTGTACGACCCAATGTTCCTATTTATTCACGAAAAGCCTAGAAGGAAGATGTAATACTCAGCGAATCCCCAGATCGAGGACGACCCACTGGGCTACACTTGCCATGCGATAGGGAAAAATGGAAGAGTGTTGCTGGTGCAGGCTCAAATCACTCGATACTTTACGGGACAACAGGCGATACAGATGATTAGTCCAAAGCTGTTTCAGCTTCTAAATAGAAAATTCGGTACTTATATATTAGACGGCGAACAAATTCAAAAACCGATCGCATTTGCTGGAAGGAACTTTTCATAAGACTGTTAGTAATTATTCGAAACTTGAATCTCTGGCTAAATCCCTAAGTGGCTGGCTTTTTCAAAACACCCTTTTATGGTGCTGTAAAGTCCAAGATAGGAATATGTTTCTCAAGGCCACGAGTTTTTCTTCACCTAGCGTATATTTCGCTGAACAAAACTCTTTCCTTAGAGTGTTAGTACTCATTTGATAGCACAAGTATCGAACAGCTCAAAATTTGTTCACTTTTTGGAAAAGCTCTTTAATGCGCTGTAGAAGAAGAAAGATATTTGTGTTTTAAAACCTCGCCGGACAGAGCTCTACAACTATACTATTAGTGATCATTCAATGTCGTAGTGTTCCAATGATTCCAACGTTGTGCCTACCTTCTGGAAATAAGGTTTAGCAAGAAAACCGATCGAGTTTCACGTGTTTCTACCCTGTTTACCGCCTAATTGAAGGAGAGGGATATGGACCCTCATTTGAAATATTATTACTTAGTTGGAAATTTTCGTATCGCAATCGACGGAAGCCTTAGATAGAAACGTAATCATTCTGAGACTGCGAAAATTCTCTACAAGCTGATATTCTTTTCGTGCTTCCAGCGAATTATGAGCGGATAAGAATGAAGTCTAAAGGACAAAAGGCGTGAATATATAGTTTTATTCTGGATTTTACAACGCGCTACTACAAAGAATCTTTTCAAACCTTTGCGACGTCAGAGATTTGAGCTTTCGAATGATGTACCAATAGCCCTATAAAAAGTTCCTATTTAGAGAATGAGATTGGTTTATAATTTTGTCACCGTTAAATATATAAGTTCGAAAAAATCTATCTTCATTCATAATAAACTCACTAATCCAGATAAAAGTTGTTAGAATTTTCACATATTTACCTACGAAAACCAAGTTCTCTTTCTGAGTCCATGGTGAAGCTTTGATTTTCCGGTGATTTTGAAATCTGTGTTTCCAAAGCATCATTGTCAAGCTCCTATCTCGTGTAATATTCAGTTAATGAAATATGCCATACAGAAGGTCGCGATTGTCTGATAATGCACCGCTGAGCTATCCAGATGATTTCTGGAATTTTGGAAAAAATCGAGAAATGCGTCTTTCACAAGAAGTCAAAACAACGAAGCGGGCCTCAAAAGTAGTCTAAATTTGCGAAACCTCGTCTTCTCTCAATTCTTACAGCGCTCTAAACAGTCTTTTCCAAAAACGAAATATCGTTGAAATGATTAGTACACCCTATCCAACAATTTGATAGTTTATAAAAAAACTCATCCGGCAAAAAATGCTTGAATTAGAAGCAAAATTTTCATTTCGACTGTTCCAGCACAAAAAAATAGGTGTCATTTAGGAAATAAATAGATCATTCATATTCACACGGTTTCAGTTATCTAATGGCTACCAAAACGTTCTACGAAGGAAAAAAAAAACATGTTTTTACTAAAGGCAAACAGAGTTGAGATAACGGAAAAGTACCAAAACTCAAAAGCCTGTTGTGTGAACGCATAAATCCTGTGAGTCACTGGTATTAAGATGCACAATCTTATCACAAAGTGCGCAATCATTGTTGGAATTGGATCCAAGCTTTTCATCTGCTCAACCCATTTCTAAACAGTGCGTAGTTTTCGACTACGTTTAGCAGAACAAACATCCATCTCAAAGGGCTATGAGAGAAAGGCCAATGATGTCAGGTTAAAATCGAAAAGTAGGCCCATAACGTAATAATACTATGTTAAATCCAGATGGTAAGCTAGCTTTGGATCTACTCTCCATATCAAATCAGATAAGAATAGCTATTTGAAAATGTCTTGTAAACAGTGTTTGGAAAATTCTAAAGAAATTGTGGAATTGTACTTAACACATTTGCGTCATCAGTTTGTTCGGAACCGCCTGTAGAATGCTTAGTATGTCCTAATGGTGGATATGGAGGCTGGACATGAATTTTCTATCAACCGCTTTTTTATAGACCCGCCCAACAAATAATATAATCTGGTAAGGATATGCATGTTTTGAGCTGATAGAGTACGTGGCATACAGGCGCCTGTTGTCGTCCTATTGGCCTTATCAATTCCACTCTCCCTTGGTTGAGCCGATCCCCTAAGATTGAATAATCCTCTGTATGGAATCGACGCCGAGTATCAAATCATCCAAAGTCAGGTGATCTGCTTACCTGACATTGTGGTGACCAACATTGAGCGCGTAGCTGTTATAATGAACATACCGTTACACTCGGCGTCATATTCCTTATAAAGTGAATTTACCCTCAGGGGAACAGCCTGAACCCGAGGGAGAGTAGAACTAATAAGTTCCTGAAAGGAGGAAACAAGGCGTCTGTATATCACGAACTTATCAAGCTCACAAATAATGCATATCCTTATCAGCTCATTGCTTGATTGCAAACATGTGGTGACGAGTAAATAGGAGAAAAGAGTGAAACCATTTTTAAACCGCATGAAAGTCTAGATGAACCAAAAAAGTCATACAACACACTTCTCTAAGTGTATGGGAGACTTGGCCAACAACGGTGATGGCTTTGAGATAGTAGGAAAAATTTTATGGGAACTGAAGTAGGAGCATTTGTGTGGAAAAACTTCGAGGCTTTTACGTGATTTTCAGAAGTTTAGAGGCAAACAGAACGGAAAGAGTGTTTTGGAAATGTTGTTTATTGAAAATAACAACTATTTTGAAATCTTTGCTTTATAATGGATTTGCGTTTTGTGTAGGACTAATTCTTCAACAGTGCCTGACAATCTTGTAATCAAAAGACTTCTTATAACTGAGCTGCTGAACATTCCAACTAATTCTGTATTTATTTATCACCAAATAAATATAGAGAGAGCATTAAACCAGATAATTGTACATGGTCCAGCATCTTGCGTGTTTTAGGCTCCAAAGAAAAGCGAAATCGCCTAAAAACGTTAGTCATAGCTTATGATGGGAGAAATACCAACGTTGTAAAGGTTTGATTCAGAAAAAGAGGAAAGTTTGTGAAGATAATTTCAGCTATGATGTTTATGTCCAATTACACCAAAACTTTCGGTGCTATCCTACCGAGGAATCAATTAGAACAAATTTATGAAGAAATGATGGTGAAAGCAAATACATCCTTCCGCAAGAACCCAAGACCTCGGCGTGCAAATGTCCTCGAGGCATTTTGGATCCATTCCAAGAATCCTGTTATGAATCGTAAAGATGAGTGCCCCCTTAATTACGCATGATTTCGCGCCATATCTTGGATCGATTCTTCACGGATCTGAGTCAGGCACACACCTCGTCCATGTAAGGACACAGTGCGGCTGGTCTACATATTTAGTGGACACCATAACAACAAAACGGTGAGTCAAATCTAGCTGATTAGTTAATGACTTGAAATTATCTAAACATTCTTTCTTCTCTTTTTTCTTTCTTCCCCTCTTTTCTTCATACAATCTCTATGTTACTACTTTTGTACAAAATAAACTTGTATCAAAAATCTCTCGTGTGTACTGCAAGTTAAAGAAAATCACGGAAAATGGTGACCAACAATATGCTTTCAGAAATGAAGTCCTAAAATAGAAAGACTTTGCCAAGGCAGTTTTTTTCTGTCACTTCATTTCTGAAAACAGGCTGATCACTTCTAATAACACCGCAGTGATTCTCGATGTACTCTCACAGAATGGTAGAGGAAAGTGCGATTAATAAATACTTTGAGCAGTGTAATATTACGAGCCCTCCAATTGCAGATCCTGCACGATGTTGATGTATTTTTTTATAAATAGTAGTTGACATTGACGATTTCACCTTCTTCAAGGCGTAGATGTACAGCAACTTTTCTAACTAATCAATAGGTATTTTCTAATCATCAACCATATTCACTCCGAATGTTAATACAGAACTTTATCTATACAGGGGGAAGCCCACTGTCTGCCTAAAATGGAGCAAGACCAGCGATGTGTTTGCGCACACACTATAAGCAATACATTTTACTCAGAACAGAAGATCAAATTCAGATAAGGCATCTTATAAGCCGTGATAGTTAGACACTCTCTTTTAAACACTCTTGAGTTTTGGAATAAATTCGACAAGTCTCCAAGCTTGTAGACCGTGTTATTAATTCCTGTAGTAAGAATGTGAGCACCAGCTATTTCGTCGTCGTCGTGCCTTTGTGCCTTGTGTATCAAAGAGGAGTAGTTGGTTGTATTATCAACAGCTATCTAAAGCGTTT